AAATTCTGGGATGTGGGTCATAGAGGATCCTGCTGTGATTTATGTCGGAGAGTGTTTTGCCTATGTTCTCCTCTAGGAGTTTGATAGTTTCTGGTCTTACATTTAGATCTTTAATCCATTTTGAGTTTATTTTTGTGTATGGTGTTAGAGAGTGTTCTAGTTTCATTCTTTTACAAGTGGTTGACCAGTTTTCCCAACACCACTTGTTAAAGAGGTTGTCTTTTTTCCATTGTATATCCTTGCCTCGTTTGTCGAAGATGAGGTGACCATAGGTTCGTGGATTTATCTCTGGGCTTTCTATTCTGTTCCATTGATCTATATTTCTGTCTTTGTGCCAATACCATACCATCTTGATGACTGTGGCTTTGTAGTATAGTCTGAAGTCAGGCAGGTTGATTCCTCTAGTTGTATTCTTCTTTGTCAAGATTACTTTGGCTATTCAAGGTTTTTTGTATTTCCATACAAATTGTGAAATTATTTGTTCTAGTTCTGTGAAAAATACCATTGGTAGCTTGATAGGAATTGTTAATGCAAATTTTTATTTCAGCCCTGCTTGGGTCTGGACCAAAGTATAAGGTGATTCTAAATTATATCTATCTTCTGTGGTTGGAACTGCCACAAGAAAGAGAATAAAATCGAAATAGTTTTTCCTTACTGTCAAAAGAAAGACCTTGGTTATGTGTATTTCCTTATCTGGTAGTAATGACAGCTTTCATTGTCAATCCCCCCTTTTTTTTATTAATTGGCTTGATTTTTCCCAGGAGCTTGTTGCACATCAAGTAAAGATCCCAATCCATAGCTAAAGAGAAGTGGAGAACACAGCAGAAGCTAAAACTGCTTTCTGTTCACATGTTTTCTCTGAGAAATTCTTAATCAGCTCTTCACCCACTGGAAGTCAGATGGAAGCAACCACAAGATGACTAATGAGGATATTCTTGTGAAAGGCACTCAGTCATGTCAGACTCTTTGGGACCCCATACAGTCCATTAAATTCTCCTGGCCAGAATACTGGAGTGGGTAGCCTTTCCCTTCTCCAGCGGATCTTCCCAACCCAGGGATTGAACCCAGATCTCCTGCATTGAGGGCAGATTCTTTGCCAGCTGAGCTACCAGGGAAGTATTAAAATGGAAATGCAGTATTTCTCTTGTTTCCCTAGCTCAGATAAACCCCTATAGTACTACACAGAACTTTAAATGAGTTGCCTTTTAAATGTACTGCCCTGTTTTCCAAATTGCCAATTTAAATGGGAATTTAAGAATGTACTATGTGAAAGCCTTTGTATTCTTCAATTCTAATCTGTACCTATCATGTTTTGTATTTGATATCATCCAGTGGGCCCTGATTAGCCTAACTGATTTTTGCAGGGTGAATTTGGATTGTTCTCAATACATGTCAAAGAAAGCTAACAAAAACTGTGCCGTTCCATCATAAGAGACTTGATTCTGATGCTCTGACTGTCTTGCTGCCTGTTAAAATCTTATATAATGCCATATCTTAATGGATGAGTAGCCGAAGACACAATGAATGGAAATGGACAGAGGTCAAAGTGTTTTGCAATTCTCTTGGTATAACAGTCTTTCAGTTTTGCTTTTGTCAGTTGCAACATTTTTAATTATTCAGGGGCTCCCTTTTGCTTCTTTTTAAATGGCATTTCTTGAATTGATCCTTCAGTCAGACTGTTAGGTCTTCCTTATATAGATGTATGTGTGTACGTATGTGTAGGGGGCAGGTTAAAAGAAAGAGGTGAGTTAGAGATAAGTGATGAGAAATTCAAATAGGCATAAATACATCCTTACTATTTCTGTTCAGTAGAAATATCCTGAGTGTTTTTTAAAATAAAACTTTATGACAGTATCTTTACAGGTTAATAAGCACATTGAAAATAAGGAGGGGGGAGGTTGCTGTTCCATTCTGTAGTTTGACTTTTGGGTAGAAAAGGATTATTTTATGTATAGTCACTCTTCTTTATCAGACAACGAGGATACAGTACTTTTCTGCTATCATCTTAGTCTCTTTTCTCCTTTGTTTTTTCCTTTAGCTCAACAGAATTCACCAAAAATCCACGAAGGCTGGTGGGCATACAAGGAGGTGGTCCAGGGAAGCTTTGTCCCAGGTAAATGCACATTTATTCTTCTTACTTTATTTTTAGGAAAATAATATGAATGAAATCTATTATTTCCAGATTTTTGCATTTGCTATATGGCATGGAATCTATTGTATAAGTCACCATAGTCTGATTTAGGTGCTAAATCAATACTGCCTTAAGAGAAAGTTTATTAAATGAGTGCCAATTTAACCAATACTGTGTTTTTTCTTCTGAGCTTATATCTTAAGTTTCTTCCGCCTACAGACGCCTCTGTCAGGGAGATGCAGGAGTCAGGGTTGAGATTCTGTATGCTGAAATTTGGTTGAGAAAGAGCTTTTATTTTTTTTTTTAATGTCAAGGAAACAGGTAGTCTGGCAAGACTGATCATAGCAGTGAGGCTGACTGTGATGCATGTTATCTCTGATGTTACTTTAGTATTATTCATGGTCAGGACTTAGTTGGGCCAAGTATCAGATGAAAAATAACAGGCCAAGTGGATGCTGTCAACATGAGGGGAGAGAACTGTAAGACAGGTTAGAGCCAGAAGCATGCCATAACTTCAGTTATGAAACAAGGTGGAGGGTTCTTGTCTTCCCTTACTGCTCTTATCCTCTTCACAATCCTCAGTCTGCTGCTTCAAGACTTTCATAGGGAAAGAGGCAAGAAAAAGAGCAGGAATGTTAAAGAGAAGGATGGAAAGGAAGGCAGATGAGATATTGCAAAGTATTTTTAACTGCTTATATGTGAGAGGATAAGAAATAAAACTCTCAAATGGAGTCAGTATGGGGTTCCAACTCAGGCACGGAAAATAGAGGACCCCAAGTGTCAGTTTAGGTCTTTGCAGTTGGTGGTAGGTGGGAAGAGTGGTGCCCCCAGGCCACCTGGTTCATTCTTGGATGCTATGTCTTCTTTCCCTGTCCTGGAGACTTCGTTATATCAGCTGTGCAGAGCTGAGAGAGTTGTTACACTCCTCTGAACCTCACTTTTCTCATTGGTATTGTGGGACACAAATTTCAATATGAGGAAACCAGGCATGGGGAGGAAGAGTGAATGGCCCAGGGGAAAGGCAGCTGACTGCCAGTTAGTTTCATAAATTACTATTATTAACTTGATAAATTTACTAGGGCACATTTATTTCTTGGTACAGTGGGCATAGAAACTAGGCTTGAGTAATTCACCTGAAAATGATCATGTTTCTAATAATAGTCTTACAATAACTTGATTGACATAACTGTGTTCATATGACAGGACAGAGCTATATGATGGTTTATACTTATGATTAGGGGCATCCCTTTCCAGTGGCTAGAAGGCTGGCATATATATATATATATTTTTTTTGCTGAGAAATCTGCTTTTGATATTCAGGATATCTGGGAAATTGCATTTATAATGATATTTTTTATGCTTTGTGATTATTAAGTAAGAGCAACAAAGGGCATTCTGCCAGGTTATAGCAAGTCTTGCTAAACTAGTAATATCCTCCCTACTGACTGAAATGCTCATGGATAATCCTGGGGAGAGTCTGAAAAGTTTTACTTTTCTGCCCCATATTTTTAAAATTACTTTATTCATTTACTTTTATATATATATATATGTATTATTGAAGTATAGTTGACTTACAATGTTTCGTGTGCACAGCAAGGTGATTCATTTATATATAATATACATATATTAATATTGAAATTATTTTCCATTATAGGTTATTGCAAGATATTGGCTACATTTCCCTATGCTATACAGTAAAAACCCTGTTGTTTGTTGCATATCTATTTTAATTAGAAATCTAGCATTGTATTCATAGTAAGTCAAACAAGCGGAGTCAAAGTGTCATAAATGTTTTAGTTAGGCAAAAATTCGTGTGTTTTCTAAAATACATATATACACATGAATTTCACATTCATGTGTATATAAATATTATACATATATAATATGTATACAAAAGCTTTCTACTATGCTTGATGAAGTTTTGAGAAGGAACATCAAAAAAATAAAAACAAGAGATGGAGAAATTGGAAAACATAAACTAAATGAAATGGGAGTACTGAATATTAAATAGAAAAAGTGAAACAAACTAGATAAAATTAAAAGATAATCATATATTTCAGTTGTTTTTAAAAACAACAGCCATGACATGGCTGCTCATTTGAAACATATCTGGAGCTCTGGAGAAAAAAAAATACCTGGGCATTTTTATTTTTAAAAAACATTCAAGATAATTCTGATATGCATCTGGATTTGAAAAAAGTGATTACAGGTTATTCTATTAAATCTTACTTTTGGTGGTATAGAGTTATTTTAGTTTTCTGTTGACCAATCATGATACAATGGTAATATGTGAGTAATAGTTACCTAGTCACAGTAATAAGAGATGTTTATGAGTTTTCACAATCAGTAGCGGGACAAATAGATAATTAAAATTGCAAATAATAATGGAATCATGATTAACCTAACTATAAGATAATTACTTACAATTTGGGGAGTCAAGCTGAGTGATGTGGTAAGTGGAAATGCATACATGCACATATTTTCATCTTCTCATCCAGTCTATGTCTTTTGGTTGGTGCATTTAGTCCATTTACAGTTAAGGCAGTTTTCCATATGTATGATGCTATTACTATTTTCTTTATTTTATTGGATTTCTTTTGTGTAAATACTTTCCTTCTCTTGTGTTTCCTGCCTAGAGAAATTATTTTAGCATTTGTTGTAAAGTTGGTTTGTTGGTGCTGAATTCTCTTAACTTTTGCTTGTCTAGAAAACTTTTGATTTCTCCATCAAATCTGATTGAAAGTCTTGCTGGGTAGAGTATTCTTAGTTGTGGGTTCATATGTCATGCTATTCCCTTCTGGCTTGTGGAGTTTTTGCTGAGAAATCTGCAAAATCTGCTATCAGCTGATAGCCTGATGGGGTTCCCTTGTATATTTTTCGTTCTTTTTCCCTTTGTGCTTTTAATATTTTATATTTGTCTCTAATTTTCATCAGTTTGACTGCCGTGGTCTTGGTTTATTCTTCTTGTGGCTTATCCAGCCTGGGACTCTTATGCTTCCTGGACTTGATTATCCATTTCCTTTCCCATGTTAGGGAAGAGTTCAGCTGTTATCTCTTCAATTATTTTCTCAGGTCCCATCTCTCTCTCTCTTTTCCCCCTGGGACCCCTAAAATGTGAATGTTGGTGTATTTAATGTTGTTCCAGAGGTCTCTTATGATGTCTTCATTTCTTTTCATTCTTTTTTCTATATTCTGTTCTGTGGTAGTGATTTCCATCATTCTGTCCTCCAGGTCACTTATTCATTCTTCTGCCTTGGGTATTTTGCTATGGATTCCTTCTAATGTCTTATTCATCTCTATTTGTTCTTCAGTTGTTCTAGGTCTTTGGTAAGCATTTCTTGCATCTTCTCCATTGTTTCCCTGAGATCCTGGATTATCTTTACTATCATTATTCTGAATTATTTTTTTTGGAAGGTTGCCTATCTCCACTTCATTTCATTGTTTTTCTGGAGTTTTATCTTGTCTCTTCATCTGAGACATAATGTTCTGCTTTTTCTTGTTGACCGACTTTCTGTAATATGGTTTTTATTTTAACCACTGTGGGACTGTGGCTCTTCTTGCTTTGTCTGTCTCCCCTCTGACGGAGGAGGCTAAGAGCCTTGTGCAAGCTTCCTCATGGGAGGGACTGGCAGTGGGAAAAACCGGATCTTGCTCTGGTGGGCAGGGCCATGCTCAGTGAAGGTTTAATCCAACTGTTTGTTGATAGGTGGGGTTGTGCTCCCTCCCTGCTAGTTGTTTGGCTTGAGATCTTTTAGCCCTGAGGTCTAATGGCTTTATGGTAATGTTAGTTGCAACTTCCAAAAGGGCTTACACCAAGGGAGAACTTCCCAGCCTGCTGCTGCCAATTCCCCTGTCCCTATGGTGAGCCCCTGCCTACCCACATCCCAACAGGAGACCCTTCAATACTAGCAGGTAGTTTTGGTTCAGTCTCCTGGGGAGTCATTGCTTCTTTCCTCTGAGTCTTGGTACATGCAAGATTTTATTTGTGTTCTCCAAGAGTGGAGTCTGTTTAGGCCAGTCCTGTGGAAGTCCTATAATCAAACCCCTCTCGTCTTTAACATCCGATTCCCTGAGGATTCCCGGACACTTTGTCAGATCCCTAGGCTGGGAAGCCTGATGTGGGGTTCACAACTTTCAAAAGAGTGGGAGAATGTCTTCGGTATTATTGTTCTGCAGTTTGTGGGTCACCTACCTGGCAGGTATAGGGTTTGATTTTATCATGATTGTGCTTCTCCTACCATCTTGCTGCAGCTTCTTCTTTGTCTTTGGGTATGGGGTATCTTTCTTTGGTGGGTTCCCATCACCCTATTGATGGTTGCTCAAAAGCTAGTTGCAATTTTGGTGCTCTCTCAGAAGATGAATGCACATCTTTCTACTCCGCCATCTTGAGCTGCACTCCTTTGTCCCATATTTAAAAAATAAATAAAATTACTTATTTGGCTGCATTGGGTCTTAGTTGCAACACTCACGATCTTCCTTGTGTCATGTGGGATCTTTCACTGTGGCACACGGACTCTAGCTGTGGCACTCAGGCTCATTAATTGTGGCATGGACACAGGGGTTATGTAGTTCTGTCAAATGGGCTGCAGAATGCATGGCCTCAATAATTGCAACACACAGGCTTAGTTGCTCTGTGGCATGTGGGATCTCAGCTCTGTGACCAGGGATCAAAACTATGTCTCCTGCATTACAAGGCAGATTCTTAACCACTGTATACCAAGGTAGTCCCCTTGCCCCAGTCTTATTTTTTTCTTTTTCACCCTCTGTTTACACATTCTTTCTTTACATGTACTCAAGTCTGTGTTTTGAGTTGGTGCTTTTAAGACGACCACAGGAGAAGTTTTATCTTTTCTTCATGCACTGATTTAAAAGAATCTAAGTTTCCCTCATTTCCAGTTTTAAAATGAGTTAATATGTATAAAACCTGCTACATGGGAAGCAGTAAGATGTGGAGTTATGAGCATGGACTCTGGAGTTGGACA